TGCTGTGTTGTGACTCAAGGGGGGCGTATCAGCTTTACCGCCTATTCTGCAGGGGCTAAATTGGGTATGCAACTTGGAGGAAATAGCCTACTTATTTGTAATTGTAAGTTTACTTTTTCACTTTAAAATAAATTCACACAAAAGTTGCAGAAACAGTACTAAGAATTCCATAAAGCTTTCACCTAGTTCCCCAAATAGTAGCATATCATATAACTACGGTGCGAGGGTCAAAACCAGGAAGTTCACACAGATGCAATACAATTCACTAAACCTGAACCTTACTCAAATATCATCTGTCCATCCCTACAGTCCCTGCCCCCCTCTTCCAGGATCCAGTATAGGATCTTCCATTGGATGTCATTGCTCCTTAATCTCTTTTAGACTGGATCAATTCTTCAGCTTTTTTTTTTTTTGTCCGTGACAATTTGATTTAGTTTGGTGTTTCCTCCTGATTATATTCAGTTTACCCACTTTTTGGGGGGAGGCGATGTTGTGTCCTCGGTGTGCACATGACTCAGGAGGCACATGACCTCATCTGTATTATCACGGATGACAGCTGAGATCACCTGGCCTAGATGGCGTCTGCCAGGGGGCTGCTTTACCTTTTGTAATTATTATTTTGTGGGAAGAAACTGAACCTATATAAACGCATAGCGATATTTCAGGAAGAGCAGGAAGGAGCGCATTCACTCTGGTGCCTGTGGTCTTTCCTATTATGCTTAGCAGCACTTTAGTAAGTGAAAAGTCCTGATTTGGCAAAAATCTGAGTTGGAAAAGACCAGGGTGAAAAGGAAGCGGTTGCGTCAACGGTGACCGCTAGGGGGCACGATGGGCCCGGCAGCCATTCAAAACTCCGCTCCAGGAAATAAGAGTTGAATTTAGAGGAGCTCAAAAGCATCCGTGGAGATTTGTCTGGCTTGTTGGAGGGAAGCAGGTGGGGTCGGTGCTAGCTACATGCATAGAGGTGGTGAAAGTCTTGGCTGCAGCTTGCTTGCTGTTCCCAGGATATGCTACGGATGCCTCTAAGGTAGGGGCTCTCCAGGCTTGGGGGACGCCAGGAAGTCTGGGATCTCCTCTGAAGCCACCTGCGAAATTCACAAAAGCTGAAGGTATATCGGTTTGGACACTGGGTATAAACCTCCAAAAAACCAGCTCTGGCAAATCAGGAATTTCCTGGAAAGTTAGGAGGATTCTGGTAGGATTAAAGAGAAAAGAAACGGCAGCTCCAGTGGGATTTGGAAGTGGACAGCACCTGGCAGAATCTCCTGGCGCCTCCCTGGGAAAGCCTTCAGTTGCTCACAGCCTGAGTCATTCAACTCACAGTTCAGATTCCAAGGAGTCTGAAGAGCTCAGCGTGGCCCCCACACACTCCGCCCGCGTCATGCTTCTAGCGGATGTTTACTGCCCAGTGACTGGTCTGAGATGCCATTTGAGTGTTGGCGCGTGTCCCTGACAGCCACTCCTGAAAGAAACCTGAAGTCCTCCCTAGGATCTAGGACTCCCTGATGGTACCCCCCTCCCCTCCAGCCCTGACCCGTCCTGCTCCCTTCTGCTTCTCTCACACTCCAAGCTTATTTCCTCCACCTGGCATGTCTCTTCCGTTTGTGTGAGCCCCACCCATGTAGAGGTGGCACTTAAAACCATGGCAGAAGGGTAAGTCAGGATGCTACTCAAAAGAAGGTAGAATGGGTACTGGTAGCAAAAGCCCACACATTGTTATCATGGATGATTCTAGAAAGGACCTGTATCCACGCATGCGCACATGTGGCACGCCTCCCTTAGTGCTGTTTCAGTTGATGGTGGACCACCCGGGTGTGGTCACGCAGGCCGCACCCCGAGTGGGTGTAATTACACTCTGCCACACCCACAGTGAAGGTCTGTTGTCCGTCTTTGAGGACACATCCCCTTCTGAAAGCCACCCAGGACTGTATTTATGCAGAGATTATGACATCGACACTCCGTTTTCTCTTTGTTCTTGTCTATTAAAATTCAAACTAAACTGTCAGGGCCCAAAGCTTGCCGCCCTCACCTGCTCAGCTGGCTGTGGGCTTGTGGTTCTAGGGCTCTCTCTTCTGACCGTCCTCCATCTCCACCCCTGAAGCTCCAAGCTGACCCCTGCTCCCCCACTTGTAGGATCTTAACAAGCACCTACCTGAACTCTTGGCTTCTTCATGTGCAGCCTCCCCGCCAGCTGAATCTTTCCAAAGCTGAGCTTTGTTTACAGCAAAAATTCTGGTGGTGGCTTCCGGCATGGATTTCATTTTCTTCACTTTGATCATTCCTTCATCCTTCTGTGTCTTCTCTTCCCCTCCTCCCCAAGATCACCGTGAGTAGTGCCTTCTCCTAGAAGCCTTCCTCACTCACCACTCACTCACTCACTGTTGGGTGAGCAACACACGCACTGCACAGGTGAGCAATACGCAGCTTTCAGCAAGGCAGAGCTACTCACCCCAGACAAAGCTGAGGAGGAGGACTGATTCCTGAAGGCTTCCTGGAGGAGGTGCCTGCTAAAGCAAGAGTTGCGTGTGCAGAGCACCCCGTGGGCAAGCGGTTGTGTGGGTGCAGGATGGAGGGTGAGTGACGGGACATGGCCGTCAGGGCTGAAAAGCGGAGGGCACTGGCCATGGAAACGATTTAACCCAGAGGTTCTCAGGTGGGATCAACTTTGCCCCAGGTGTCACTGGGTACCCTCTGGAGACATTTTCGATTGCACAGCTGAGGAGGTGCTCTCGGGGACTGAATGGATGCTGCTCAACACCCCGCAGGGCTCAGGACGGCCCACCCTAAAGATCTGGTCCCTACACTGCCAGTGTTAAGGTGCAGACACAGAAGGCTTACGCCACTGCTTTCTACAGACCAACTTGTTTAAATCTCCCATTGCTGTGAGCTAGGTATCTTTATTATCTTTTCTTCAGATGGGAAATGGGCCTGAGTGATTGAGCTGAGGGGCAGGGCCCGTGTCCAGCCCTTTGCTGACCAGGAAAGGTTGGGGTGTGGCGGGGAGGCAGGAAGAGGGCATTTGAGGAGGCTGGAGGGCTGGAAGGGGGCTTCTGGATTTCTGGCCTGGCAGTTGGATGGAGGAGGTGAAGAATGCTGTCATGGAGATGTGGCGAGGTCTGGCCAAGCTTGTCTGCTCTGTAGCGGAAGAGGCCCCTATGAAGTGCCAAGCAGCGGCGGGTGGGCAGCACGTGGAGGTCTGTTTCCACAGTGGCTGTGCAGAGGGTGTGGAGTGTGCAGGAGGGGAGGGCCTGGAGCAGGACTGAGAGAGGCAGGAGGAAACCAGGGCCTGGGAAGGCACTCCGAGCCAGGGAGAATCCTCCCTCCTAGCAAGCGTTGCTGGTGCCTAGGGGTGTGAACACCTCCTGCAGAGTTCTTGCTACCAGAATTCTGGAAGGCAGGGCACCTCTGAGTCTCCCTCCTCCCCCACCTCCACTTGTGGCTTATGTGAACTCTGGTGGGGGCTGTCAGTTCAGTAAGAGCAGCTCCACGATCTCCAGGGACCCAGGCTCTGCTGTCTGATTGCTTTGCCGTCCTTATCCTGTGATGTCTACCTCAAGGTCCAATGTAGAAATGGGTGCACCAGTCATCATATCTGCATTCCAGATAGCAGCCTCAATTTTACCATGTGTGCAAGGGTGCTTACACCCACCCTGGAGATTATGGAAAAGGAGGGGGACAGACTCCTCCAGTATGGAGCTGCTGTGATTAGTCAGAACCCCGCAGAGGTTTGTGGCAGGGTTGGGTTTTCCTTGTGTGGCGCCTGCGCTTCTGGGCCTCAAGGGGCTTTGCGACCTAGAGGTCTTTGGCAGGCTTCCCATCTCATTTCCTGGGCGGCCATCATATATCTGCTCCCCAAGGGTCTCACTCCCTCACCAGCCACTCAGCACCCAAGGGTAGGGCTTGGGCCCCCGCCCCGAGGGACCCTGTCATCCCTGAGGCAGGCCTGGCCTTCCCAGGGGGAGCACTGGGGCAACAGAGGCTGCAGTGGTGAACTGTGGGAGTGTGGGGCAGGTCTGGGTGCCATGGTTCTCAGAATTGGGCAGGGCCCTGCCATTGCACTGACAGGAGGCAGCAGTTAGGTCACTCCAGGAGTTCCCTGGAACTGACCACAAAGTCTGTGGCACCAGCGCAAAACGGAAGCACAGCCTCTGTTCAAAACTCAAGAGCCCAAGATCGTGGCAGCCGAGCATTAAGCCAAGCACAGATCCAGGGGTCCCAGTCCAGGGGAGTGATGGGCCACTGCAGAGTCACCGACGGGCCCCAAGCCCTCTTCCTGGGTCTGACACCAGCATCTTGGACACACGTGGGGTACCACTTTGGGACCTGAGAAACGGCTTTTAGGGATAGCAAGTGCACCCAAGTTTCTGAACAACCTCCCACCTGTGAGCCCTTCTTGGTTCCTCTAATCCCGTGTCTTTCCGGGGTCCAAGTCCCTCGAGAGGGTGGCTGTGGCCCCAGGGGTCCCCCGCTTTGGTCCCATCTCATCAGCCAGGGGTCTACGGGCAGGACCCTGGCACTGACAATTCTGGACAAGCTCGTGCGCTGGTTCTTGGGGGACTCTGAAAGCTTGGCCCAAGAACAACTTCCGTCACTACATCTGAATGAGTCTAGTGTGCTCACACATGTAGACACGAGCCAGCCGCCCACCTAGGCTAAGAACTGCTTTCTTGCCATCTTCAGCCATCTGGAACACTCCCCAGAGAGCCTGAGGGAAGTTCTGGAAGCAGATGAGCAGGGAGGATGGGAAGCAGCATCCCATCCAGTGTGTGTGTCTGGGGAGGGGGAAAAGGCAGGATTGTGTGGCTGTGACCCCAAACATACAATATGTTTATTTCCACGCAAAACAAGAGTGAGCCTGAAAGTCTGTCTTTACTGTCATTCCTCCCTCTGCGAGGAATCCCACAGGGCCAAGACAGAGAGGCAGACCCAAGTCTGAATTGGGGGCCCCGTGTGGAAGAAAAGGCAGACCAGGACAATCCACAAACCAAGCTTCAGTGTCTCCCGGGAGAGGAGAGATATATTTTAAAGACATTCTTTCTGTCTGACTTCAGCTAAGGCTTGAACTCTAAGACCAGACAAACACTGCGACTATTAGAACTTTTGGCTTCTAAACCAGCGCGCTCTCCGCTCTCCCCGCCCCTCCCCATTCACCTGGCTGGGCCGAGGCCTGCACAGCGCGCCTGTGTGTAGGGACATAAGGGTTTTAAAGGCCAGGTGAGTTTACGTTAGTACCTTCTGCATGAATGAGAACAAAATATCTGGGACCAAATATACACATTCATAAGAAACGTTCTAATAACAATTAGAGCACAAAACTATGGTATAAACTTATTTTCAAAAAGAGAAACTATTGCATTTTCATAAGAAGGTGCTTCCTAGACCAGAGGTTTGTCTTTCTTCTCTGCAGCTGGTATGAGGAAGGACCTCTTGCGCGTAGATAACCAAGTGCAACGTGTTACGATGGATACAGACCTGGGTGTTTACAGATCAGGGCTGCAAAAGTCCTTGGGATTCTCTGTCCCCAGAAGAGAGTTCTGACCTGGAGCAGTTCGATGGGACTTGCCTGTGGCCACAGTGCTCCGGGAGGTGTCCGGGAGGTTCTGCGTGGCAGGAGGAGGGCGGCTGCGTGTGCAACTTGTCACCCTCGGGAGATGCCCCGGAGACATGACAGCATGGCCCCTGGGGGCAGACTCACTCCAGACCCAGTGGTTCAGTTTGGCTCGGTACTGTGAACTATGATGGGCCCAGATCCTTTCTGCTATTGATAAAACGTCTGTTTTTAATTCTTAAAGACACCACCACGTCTTGGCACGAGTGGGCCCGTTTCCACGCTGGTTCTTTGAGCCACGTGGGCTGGGAGTCATCCAGGGATGCGTTTGGCAGCTGCTTCCAGAGGCCTCTGGCATTTTAGAGCCGGGACTCCCGCAGGGCAGGTGGCCTGCCACGTCCTGGGCCATGGGGGGCGAGAGCTGGGACACATGGGGTGCGGGCTTCACGCCACGGAGGCACCAGGCTGAGGCTCCACTTCGCGTTCCCAAACCCCTTGGATTCCAGTCAGCTCGGTCTGCCCAGCAGCTGCGGGCACCCTCCCTTCCTGGGATCTCACTGACCTTTCAAAATCACGGAATCAGCTAGATGAGTTCTGCCAAACTCATCTAGCCGGTGGTGATGAGGTGCTTGGCCCCTTCCAGCGCCCAAGTTGGGGTCCCTGCAGGCACAGTCACAATTCCAGCAGAGGCTGAGGAAACTCAGCCGGGCAGAGACCTGGGCGCCCGGGTGGGACCTCTGTGTGTTAACAACTGTGTTTCTTCTTGAGGATTATCGGTCCTTGAGGACGCTGCCCAGGCGCCTGTGAGGAGCCAAGGCCACGTCACCCGCCCCACAGGCACCACTGGGGTCCGGCCGTGCTAGATGCCCTGCAGGGGGTGGCTCGGCTCGCTGCGCTCCCGCTTCACCAGGGGCTCCCCCAGGCTCCGGGCGTCAGAGTCGGCCTCGCTGGTTCGGTCTTCACTCATGTCATCTGTGGGGCCCGCGTTAGGGGTGGGAGGCATCGGGGAGGAGAAGCACATCTTCAGAGTGGTGTCGGGCCAGGGCTCAGGGCTGGGTTGAGCCAGTGGTCCTCCCCGGGGCTCCTCCCGGCCTGGGGGCGGAGGCTTCTCGGCGACCGCCTGTGCCTCACACCGCTTTGCCGGGCTCATCTCCCTGGCAGGGTTTCCCTTCGGGGGCTGGTCCTCTCACAGCCACAGTGCAGGGAACAGCCCCTCTAGAGGTGGGTGTAGGGGACCTTAGGCCCCCCAGTCCTGGCCTGCACAGAGGAGTCCCCTGGGCCCCCGAGCGGGGTTACATGTCGTACTCGGGGATGGGGGCCAGCTGCTGCTCTGAACCCAGGGACTGGCTTCAGTCCTGTGGACACAACCCAGGGTGGGCGCCCACTGCCCAGGTATCGCTTTCCCACCTGGATGTCACATCCTGGAGACCTTCCATCCAGGGGTCCCCATTTCCACCAGGCTGGTGGAAGGAAGATGGCTCCTGGGAGAGCCGGGGTGGGAAGGCCACAGGCACACTCACCTTTGTCCAGAAGCGTCAGGGACAGCGAGGCCAGATCGTTGAACTGAAAGAGAGAAGCCAGTTAGAGACCACGCGGGCCCCCGTGACTGCCAAGTCTCACACGGCTACAGCAAGCTCTTGGAAGACGGGGGTTCTGACGTCAGCAGGGGCTGTGAGGCTGGGGGGACCTCCTGACACTTGCAGGGTCTCCCCTGGGAGCTACTGAGGGTGGAGGGAGCTGACTGGTCAGATCACAAGGGGACATAGCACTGTGAAGTGACCATGAAGAAGTGGCTGCTTTTGTCACAGGCTACTGTGTACACTGCTTCCTCCAAACGACCCCACGTGTGGTAGCAATTCCACTTCTAGGAAAAGACCCCAACGAACTGAAACTGGCGCGCAAATGTATGCTGTGTAGAAGTGGTCACAGCAGCAGTAACACAGTGGTCACAAAGTGGACGATAGTCTACCCACCACCAGATGGATGAATGGATAAACGAAAAGCGGCGTATTAACGCAGTCAGTCGGCTATAAAAAGGAATGAAACTCGGGCTGACTACCCCGTGGGGGACCTCGGAGACGAGACGTCAGGCAGAAGCCGGACACCGGGCCAGGGTGTGGGAGTCTGTGGATGTGACAGGCCCAGGACCGGCACAGCCACAGCCAGAGGTTTCTTGTGCCAGGAGCTGGGAGGGGAGGGTGTGTGTGTATGGGGGCGCCGCTGTTAAGGGCTGATGGGGCTGGGCTTCTTTCTGGGGTCGTGGAAAAATCTGGACCTAGAAGAGACGGAAGCACAGCACTAAATGCCGCTTGTTTAAAACGGTCGAAACTGCAGATTTGATGCCGTGGACTTTAACAGAGCAGAGTGGTCTCGGGGGCGGGGAGTCCTGCCTAGGCTCACAGGGAGTGGGGGCTGAGGAGTCAGACTCCGAACCCCGGGCTGCTGGGCTCTAGCGGGCCAGCCCCGCCCCGGCCGGGTCCCGCCAGGGCGTTCTCCTGCGCCAAGGCGCCATCGCTGTGGCACCCAGCATGCAGCACTGGGCAAGGGCCCCCCCGCGGCCCCCACACCCTCCTGCTGTCCTGCCGCCAGCGGGGCCCTCACCTCTCCCATCACGGCAATGGGCGTCTCTCCGGTTGCCTCGGCGACGCGATGTTCCACCAGGTAGAACATGTACTCGTCGTAGAGCAGGCGGATCAAGTGAAAGGAGCCGAAGCTGGCGGCGCTGCGCAGGGTGAGGTCCCGGATCACCATGGAGCTGGGGGTGTGCAGACAGAGCTGGGGGCCTCAGCGGCTGGAGGTCAAGCCGGCCCCCTTCCGCTCTGGTACTGCCTGAGAACCCTCGAGGCCTGCGGGTTCCTAAGGCCGCCAGGGAGGGTGGAAGCCGTGTGCTCTAAGCGAGAGGCGGCTGAAAACGCAGGACTGTGGGGGTGGTGTGATGGCCTGTGCCGTGAGCCTTAGAGCCCGCCGAGGGGGAGTCTCCCAGTGCCACAGGGTCCCCCACAGTAGCAGCCTGGCCTGGCCTCCCCTCCTCCTGACACCTGGTGGCGGCGGTGTAGCACCCAAATAGGTGATGCCTCTCTCAACTCAGAATGTGTTGGCAAACTGTACCCAGCGCAGACCTGACTCAGCCTGTGAGCTAAGCACGGTGTTGACGGGCCTCCCTGGCAGTCAGCGGGTTAAAGCGCAGCACTATGAAGCTGTCCGCAGTCGCTGCAGCCTGGGATCCTGACCCAGGGGTCTATCCCCGGCCAGGGAGTGACCCACAGGGCGCAGCAGACCTCTCCTGTCTCCCCACTGCTCCCCTCAGCAGTGTTTCAGTCAGTCCGCTGTTCTGCTCCTCTCTGTCTCTGGGGAGTCCTCTCACCTCTCGCCCTACTTCTGGCCTACATCCTAGTTCTCCTATGCAGAAATAAATAAATAAAATCTTAACAACAACTGAACTACTAAATGCCCAAGCTATCCCACTGCGGGGTCGCTCTCTGAAGAATACGACGCCGTCAGCCCAAAGACCTAGGCACCACAGTGCAGCGTCGTCAGTAGCTAAGGTCCGGACGCAGCCTCAGAGCCCACTCAGGGAGGCCGACGACGACATGATGGAGGGACACAATGGCTACTGCTCAGCCTAAGGACGGTGGCATTTAGCCCCTTGTGGCAAAGTGGAAGAAATCTGGGGGGATTATGTGAAGTGAGGTTAGCCAAAAAGATACAGACGAGTGTTGGTAACTATGTACAGTGCAACCATGAGCCGAGGCTAATGGACAGAGTAACGTGCAGATCAATGAGCGGGTATCACAAAACGGAAACGGGGTCACCAGAGGTGAAGATCAGGTGGGCTGGAGGGGCGCAATGGTGGTCGCTGGCTTGTTTTGTTTTGGAAGAACGCCTAGCCTGGGGGTGGCTGTGGCGTGTTTTGTGGGTGTGGTTTACACCTCCTGTCAGTTTACTTGAGTGAAAATTACCCTCCACAATGTGGGTGGCCTTAACTACTGGCTGAAAGACCCTCAGGGCCAAATGGAAGTTTCCTTGAGGGAGCAGCAGTGTCCCTGTGGACAGGCGACCTGGGCTCCGGCTGTTTCCCGCCTGCCCCTGCTTTACAGCCTGCAGACTTGCCGCCCCGAGGCTCCTGCCAGCCGAGGCTCCTGTGCTCACCACACACACGCCGTCACAGCATTCACGCAGACGAGTCTAAAACACACACCCTGCCGCTTACGGGGCCAGCGGGAGCCACGCCTCTTGCCGCCACCGCACTCGGCAGGCGGCGTGGCTCTCAGGCACAGTCTCACCGCACCGCTCTCTCTCGTCTGCCGGCCCCGCTGTCCTGCTCTTGTGGCCCTTGGGGTCCCTTTGCGGGTTTTGCACACACATGAGCGCTTAAGCGGCTGCACGTGCCAGAGGCCGATGATTTTGGTCTGCGGCAGCTGCAACCTGGTCTCGCGCCAGAGGCCTCCGGGCCTGCCCCTCGGTGCCTGCCCGGCAAGTCTGCAGCCGAGGGCTCAGGACTCAGCTACTTCTCCAGCCGCGCCCAGCAGGGGGCGGCCCCCCCCTCCACCCTCGCAGAAGACTTCAGTCAGGGACTCACCTGTAAAAAGACCACTTCAGCAGGAACTGCCGGGCAGCCTTGGGGAAGCTGGGGCTGCCTGCATGCTGCTTTAGGACCTGGGTGACCACATTGTCCAGCCAGCTGGCCCACTGGTCCAGGGAGCTCTGCTGCTGCAGGGTCAGCTTGAAGTCCTGCTCCAGTCGCTGCACCACACTCTCCTCGCACTGGCACACCCATGAGGCTTGTTCCTGTGGGCACAGGGCACCGCTACCAGTCTCTGTCCTACCAGCTGGCTGAGGACGCAGGGCCCAGCCAGCCTGACACAGCCCTGGGCCAGGTGTCTCGCAAACGAGCCCTGAGGCTCACCACCTTCTCGACTTGGCTTTTTCCAACTTCAAGCTGAGCCTGGCCCCTGCCCACTCCACGGGGCAGAAAGGAGCGTGCAAAGAGGGACTGGTCCTGGCGGCTCAGGGTGCAGTCCAGGCTTCCTGCACCCCAAGCTCAGAGTGCATTCTGCTTCATTTTCCTGAGGTTGCCGATGTAGTGCACGTGTGTTTGTTTAGCAGATGAACTCAGACCTGAGGCTGAGGACACTATTGCCAAAGCCCTGCGCTTTCTTAAGCCCAGAGGAGAGCCATGAAAGCAACAGGCAGATTTTAAAGGCAGTGAGCCACGGTTGGGTCTCGGCACCTGGGTGCCAGGTAGATGTGGGAGGTGGTGGCCCTTGGGTGGGCTGCAGGGGCTCTGACCTAGATCTTGGTCTGTGCAATAGCAATGTGAGCGGGGAGGGTTTGCTGTGTGCTGGGTTTTGGGGGCTTGGACATCTCTCTAGAGGGTGGAAGCCTAGACAGAGATGGGGTCCCCGAGCCCCGACCTGGCCACGGGGAGCTGCGAAGGGAAGGGTCACCTGCACGTTGGCGAAATCCACACGGTTGAGGTCGCTGAGCATCTGGTTGATCTGGGACGTGTTCTGGAGCACCGCCCGGGCCGCCTGCGCCAGGTGGTTGAGGGACGTGTACCTCCGCAGCGTCTGGGCAAAGGCGCTGACCACGCCGACCTGTGAGCGAGGACGGGAGGGTGAGCTGCTGGGCGCTGGTCTGCGTCCCTGAGGTGGGTCTGGGCTTGGGGACACTGTAGGGGTTGGGGAGGAAAGAGATCCTGGCAGGAAGGGGACACACATGCTGACAGTTCCGAGCACCAGAGGGTGAGAATCCATGACGGGCACGGGCCTCCAGCAGATGGGCTTGGAGTTCAGAGTGGTTCGCTTATGCCCCTCCCTGCTTCTAGATTCCTTTTACTCTGCAGTGGCCAGTGAAAATGGGGTGCCGTGGGATGTGTGGTTTGGGAGCCTGCATTCTTCACAGCTGCCCAGGTGCCTCTTACAGGCCCTGAAGTCTGAGGGGCACCGGCCTCACAGAGCCAACTCCAGGCTGACCAGGTGCCCAGAACCTGGCCTCCTCTGTGCCAAGCAGCTCTGGGAGGATGCTCCAGAGAACTGTCAACAAGCATCACTTTTTCACAAGTAGGCCAAATCCATACATTTCTAATTCTGATTGTAACAGGATGGTAGTGAGGAGAGTAAGCTCCCTCCTACGATGAGTTAGAAACATTCGGTCTGTTCTGAATTGACCCAAATGCATGACAGAAAAATGACCACTGGTGTGGTGGACCTTCCTGTGAGCCCGTCCCCCATCACAGCACTCTGGGGATGCCCAGAGGATGTGGTGCTCAGCACGAGCATAGTTTTTGAGTCTTCTCTGAAGCATCGTTCTCCCTTGAGCTGCTCCTGTGGCCTCTCCCTTCACTGCACGCGAGGCCTGTGGTCACTGCCCCCGCAGCTGGACCTCTGCCCAGCCATTACCTTGGTCTGGATGACCTGTTGTGGGAAGTCGCTCATGGCATTTGTCAACCAGCCTTCTAGACTCTTGGCAAAATTACGGATGGCCTGTGTCAAGGTACCTGGAGATACAAACCATGATGTTAGCAATGAGAAACGTGGCCTCTCCTGCCTCTGAGTGAGGCCACAGGGCAAACAAGAGAACTTAAGACACTCATTGACGGAGGTGCTGAGTGAGAACTGGGGTTCACCAGAGCCATTATCTCTGCTCATTTATTTGTCTAGCGAGTAGGCCTCACCTGGAGGGCGTCTGCCCCCAGGGGACACTGGACCATGTCCTGGGGACATATGTGATGGTCACACTAGCTGGGCTCCTAGTATTTTGGGAGGGGCAGGGCTCAGTCCCCCATAGTGCTCAGAATGGTCCCCCACAGAGAATGATCTGGCCTCCGTGTTAGCAGTGCCCAGGAAGTGAGACCTGATACATTCAAGCATACAAATATATTCTAGCAACTTCCAAACTTATTTTGAGATGATCTGCAATAAGTAACAAATGTCTGTCAAAAAAAAAAAAAAAAGAGTCAGGCCCTCCCTGGTGGCGCAGCAGGTTAAAGGGCAGCACTATGAGGCTGTTCGCAGTCACTGCAGCACGAGTTTGATTCCTGGTCAGGGAGGTGACCCACACACAGACCTCTCTGATCTCCCCGCTGCTCCCCTCAGCAGTGTATTTCAGTCAATCTGTCTGTTCTGCTCCCTACTCTGCCTGGTGAATCCTCTCACTGCCCCGTGCCCCACTTCTGGCCTGTACCCAACTTCCTGTATGCATAAATTAACAAAATCTTTTAAACAAGAGAGAGAATAAAATGCAAATGTAAAAGGAAACAACCTCGTACTCAAACCTTAATCTAGAGACACTAATTGACCACTACATTAAAACATTTTCAGGCAGGCAAGGCCAAAGGAGAAATACAATAGTTTTGCTACAACTGTGTTGTAGTCTTTAAGAAAGGTGAGGTTGGCACAGCATTCACATGTTGCCTGGCTGGCATGAGCCACGGTGCCCACGCAGTCGTTCATGGAGACAGGCCTCCCACTCGGTGTCCTCACCTTTCCCAGGGAAGAGCCCTACACCTGAGAGCAGGTGAGGGGCTGGCTGGGCGGGCTCCCCCTGGCGGTGGGCGCTGTCATGGCATGGGGCGCAGAGACCCTGGGGAGGTCCCCACGGCACTGGGCCCACCAGGCAGGGTAGCCAGCGAGGCACACGGTTGCAACTGCTCTCTTCCTCAGTAAAGAATCTGGAATAATCTGCCATGTGATGCTTGAGCGTCAGTGTCGGGAGGCAGCTGAGCTCTGTACTGGGTCCGGAGGGGGTGTGAGGGGAGGGGCGACGTGCCATAAGTGTAAAACTCCGCTCAGATCTTCACCGGGAGCCTGGCGCTCACTCTGGGGTCTCCTCGGGAATGCTGAGGACACCACACAGCTGCAGGCGGCAGCACCCCGTGGCTCCCCTCCAGCCCTGTCCAGACCTGACGGAGGGCAGTGTCCACTGGAGCCAGAGGCTGGCCCTGCTGTCTTTCTGGGGTCGTCGCAAGGAAAGCACTGAGGTGGGAGTGACTTCCCTCCTCTTGACTCCGGCTAGGGCAGAGGCGCACACGCGGGTGTGCTGGGAGCGTGTTTAGGAGAAGCGGCGCTTACTGGGCACGGGGCGCAGCACGTCAGGAATGAGGATCTCGACCAGAGCCTGGTACAGGATGTGGTCGCAGCTCCTCATCCACTTGAGAATGGGGTCGCATTTGCACAGAGAGACCAGCTTGTCCTTCGGGAGGACGGTGCCTTCTGGATCTTCATCGCTGTGAGGCACAAGGGGAGATGAGGTGAGCTGAGGCCTGGTGTCTACCCTGCGGGTGGCAGGAGACTGGCACAGGCCTGGAGACCTGCCTAGGCCTGGGGGTAGTGGACAGTAAAGCCGCAGGACCACACCTGGTGGCAGGGACTAGAAACCCCCAAGGGAGGTTTGCTCGCCCATTCCCACGCCCTGACCGTCCGGCGCTCCCCAGGGGTGAAGCTGTGCGCTCTGGCTTGTGGCAGAGGTGGGGAAGCTCCATCATGGTCAAGGCCAAGGGGACGCCTCCAACCCTCACGCTGAGACTGGTAAGTGGCGGTAGGGAGACAAAGCAACAGCCAGAAGTGGGAGGGGGTCTCAGTGCCAGCTCCTGCAACGCTGATGCCTTTCTGGGGCAGCGTGGCTCTCAGGGTAAAGCCAGCACGCAGGATGGTACAGCCCTCCCTGGGGAACAAGTTACCTGGCAGACAGAGAGGCAGGGTGGTCACCGGCTGAGACTTTGGAGTTCCAGAAGGAAAGCCACAACTTCTCAATGTAGTGAAACTGGAGGTTCATTACAACATCTAAAGTTGCCTGGGAATAAAAACGGTCAGTTAAACACACAGCCGTGTGAGCGTCCAGGGTTCACGGAACATGCCGAGCAAGCAGCCACGATGGAGGTTGCATTGGGGCCTTTTAAGATCCAGAGACCCCGCAAGAGGACAGAAATGAACGGAGGGGCCCATCCAGAAAGTGCGGGTGAGAGGGCCAGAGCACTGCTCCTGTCCCCCCCGGCAAAGTTGGGTGTCGGTGACTGGCGATGAACGTGTGACGGTGACTGCTCGAACATGCTTGACTCTGCACCCAGGCACCCACCGAAGCCCCAAGGCTCAGGCTTGAGCTCTTTCCGGAAGGCGCCTGGAGGGAGGGGTGGTCACCTCGCAATGCCGCCGGTAGGCCAGCTGCAGGGCCTTGACGTCGTGCAGCGTGATGCTCTCCTGCAGCAAGACGCCGCCCAGGTCGGGTGCCGGGAACTCAGGGAAGACGTGGGAGACATCTGGGGGGAAATAGCGTACTTAACAGAGCAGCACAAGGCCCTCCCTGGTGGCGCAGCAGGTTGAAGCGCAGCACCGAGAAGCTAAAGCCACTTCAGCATGAGTTCGATTCCCGCCTGCCCCGGAGGTGACCACATGGCGCGGCAGACCTCTCCTGACCCGCCCGCTGCTCCTCTCAGCAGTGGCTGTTCTGCTCCCCACTCTGTCTCGGGTGAAGCTTCTCACCGCCCCCGCACCTCCAACCGGTACCCCAGATCTATATGCATAAATAAATAAATCTTTAAAAAAAAAAAAACAAGAGCAGCACAAGATCCACACCCTGGGCTAGGGTGCCCAGGTGTAGGTGCCAGTGTTGTCCCCCCAGAAACAGCCCAATTCCCTGGGGCATCGGGAGAGGGTCACACTGCGAGGTGAGCTTCGTCTTCCTCAGGGACTGAGTCAGATGTTAATATACTGGTACTTGGGATAGAGTGAGGCTATCATGACCCCAGTGAGGAGTCCCCCTGGACAGGGTGCTGGGGAGGAGGGTGACATGGGGGTGGCCTCCCAGCTAAGGGGGAGAGCAGTTCCAGAAGACCACAATGGAGGGTTCTGTCTGGCCTTAAAAAACGCCTTACAAACACAGGAGGCCACCGAGGCCCTCAGTGTGTGGCCTCTAGCAGTACCGGTCACGGGAGCAGCAGCCCCGGGTGTGCTGGGGGCAGCAGGCTGAATTAGATGCTCTGCTGGTTAGTGGTGGGGAAGGGGCTCTCCTGGGTAGATCCCGGGGAAAGGGGGCGGGCAGCCCTGTCGGGTCCAGGAGGGGGGACACACAGTTTGGGAGTGCTGAGCATTGGAGGCTCCCGGTAAGAAAGGAAGAGGTGGTAGCAAAATCACGTGGCCAGCCCCGAACCAGCAGGTTTTAAAGTACAACACCTGGTCTCTCTAACAGGCACTTCATTTTATTCACTTCTGTTTCTGATGGTCGCATTATATATTAATTTTGGGGTTATATGCTGATTAGTCTTGAAATCTCTAGAATGCCACCAAGTTTCCAGGAACTTCTAGAACATTCTATCTAGTTGAAAAGGTATAATACAAGAAAAACATTTGAAGCGTCCCTTTTGATGTTTCTGGTGCCGAAACCCATGAGCACCCAGAAGTGCTGAGAAGACCCCTGAGCTCTGGCAGCCGGCCCTGCACCCTGGGTGGGGGTGGGGCTCACCTATGTACTGCTGGTGGTGCTGGCTCTGGGCGGCCATGGCCTGCTCAGGGGTGCTGTGTGGGCTGCTGTGAGAGCCGCTGTCCCCAAGGCTGTCCGTCTTCTGGGCTGGCCGGTACCTGGGCAGGGGACACATGCGCCACTTGAGGCCCCAGAAAGGGCCCAAGAAGCAGAGGCGTTGGTTTGGGGGAGTGTGTATGCGTACAGCTTTTTAAAATTATGGCCAAATATACTTAACATACATGACCATCTTAGCCATTTTTCTGTGCATGGTTCGGTGGCGTTAAAATACATTCACAACCATCTTCACCATCGAGCTCTAGAAGTTTCTCACCTTCCCAAAGTGGTGTTCTAACTGCACTAAACACTAACCCCCACCCCCGACCCCAGACCCTGGCACCCACCATCCACTCCTGTCCCCCAGAGGGACACTGCTGCGAGGGGTAAGTGAGGGTGTTTGGGGGAGGTGAGTGGGTGGAGGGGGGCAACTTTTCTGTGGAAGGTGGGGGCCAGGCCTGAGAGCAGTGAGAAATGCTGCTCAGATGTGTATGGCTCTAAATGTAAACAGCTTAATTCTGTCACTGCAAAATACGTGCAACAGCTCTTAAAATAACACAGTGCCTGGTATATGGGGGCGCAGATGTTTGCAGAGGCCGAAAACCATCAACAACCACAAGAAGCTATAGCGTCCATAGCTGTGGATGGGATGGACTGTGGGTTCCAGAGAATGTTCCAGAAACCCTTCTGTGACCCTCAACTCCTGAGATTAGTCAATCCAAAGTGGGTTTTGAGCCACAAGACCCATGGGGCATGCAGGTACCACATGGCAGGTTAAGTGGGTGGTCCCTGTCTTGGAGCTGAGGAGAGGGGAATGGGAGGGAGGGGTGATCGGGCATCTGGCCTGTAAAACCTGGGTTATTTGCTCCCTGGCTCCTTACCAATAGTTTGCTGACTTCTGCCTTAGAAGATAAGTAGTTTTGTGAGGGGTACAGAAGAGAACATTCCAGAAAATGGCAAGGCTATTTAATTTTCAGAGAAAATTTGAACACCAATAGTAACCCAAGGTGCCAGCAACTCAAGTCTATCAGTTTCTTTCTCCTGGTGTGGTAAGGGTGGGTACGTGTCATCACACACGTCCAGACCCTTGGGATGAACACTGCCAAGAGGGATCCCTCACGTCAACTCTGGACTCCAGGAGATAATGGCATGTCAGGTGCATCCACAGTGACAAAGACACCAGTCTGGTGCCATGTTGATAGTGCAGGAGGCTGTGCAGATAGCACAGAGTAGATGGGAAAGCTCTGTACTGCCCCCAATTTTGCTGTGAACCTAAACAGCTCTAAAAAATATTTTTTAAGGTGAGAAACCTCTGGAATCTCTGTTAGATGGAGGAGGTTGTATTCCCAGCTCCCCATCTGTTGATGGTCTCACTTCTCACCCAGGGAAGGGTGTCTCCCAGGCCTCCAAGTAGGAGGGAGGGGTAATAGACACAAGTTCTTCTCCACTGAAGGATGGGTGTCCCCTTGGATGTATGGACTTTTGTCCTCACGTAATGTCTTCGATAGCTTCTTGGAAACTGCAACTTGAAGTTAGGCCTTCGACTAATGTTTCATTCAACATTGGCCAGGATTATTTTTACTCATCAACATTACACAAAACGGCATTGAATACAACGGCCAGATTCATGGAATGCCGTCTCTACATTCTCCACGCGAAACCGGGGCGCCCAGACCACGCACCTGGGCTTCTGGTGCATGGGCTGCTGCCGCATGGCCATGTACTGGGTGTCCTCCTGCAGCCGGTTCAGGGGCGAGTCTGGCTTCAGGCGGATCCCGTAGTAATGATACTTCGAGTTGCCCCTAGAAGCCAAACAGCCAAGATTAGCACTGAAATGCCTTGACTCTGCATTTCGGGCTCTACTTACACGGTGTGGGAAATGACCACAGGCTGTTCCGTGGCCAAAGAGGTGGAGGAACCCTACGCACAACACCCCCCCACCCCGAATCTGGAAAAGGCTCTCAGAGCCGTGAGAAGCCGGCTCAGTTCTTGAACCCTGTGGCCATCATGGCCATCAGCACTACCGCAGGTGCCACACTGAGACACTGCGGTCACTCACAGGCGGCCGTCCCACCTAGCCCCCTCCATGCAGCCGCTGTGTGTGGTGGGCTGTGCCAGCTGGGCTTGTGGGATGGCATGCTGTGATGTTTGCCCAAGGATGAAATGGCCGAACAGGGCATGTGCTGAATGAGTCCCCGTCGGTGAGTGGACGGCTGTGTGGATCTCTCTCAGTGAGCTCACAGCATGTTTTGGAAGTAGCACCATAGGAGAAACTGGACCTTAACTGACTGAGGAGAAATGGTGATCAGAAGGCTTTAAACAGTTTAGCAGAGCATGACCGTGTGGGGCGCCCCCCCGGGAGGAGAGTGCTGAAGGATAGGCCTGGCCGTCCAGGCACCCGGCTCACGGAGTCCTCTCGCCAGCGCTGACAACAGGGCGAGCTGAGGGCTTGGGCCCGACTCCGCTCTGCAGGTGCAGCCCAGAGCAGGAGGAAGGAGCCTGGGGAGAGGGACCCTAGTCCTGAAGCCACCACCAGACACTGGGGGAAGCCGCACACCTCTGCGGGCCCCAAAGGCAGTGGAGCCTGTGTGCCCAGGAGGATGCTGCTCTTCCCACCCCGACTGCTGTCTTCGTCTGTAGGGCGAGCGCTCTCGCTAAAGGACCAACGGTGAGGGAACCAGCAAAGGCGTGTGGTTCTCTTGGTGCTACTGCCAGGCCACTTCAGGTCGGCCAGGACGGCTGCCTGGTGTGCCCGTGGGGACCCCGATGCCTGCTTGTGTGCAGCTGTAGGAGGCACTGAGGCTGGCTGCCCATGCCCTGCCCATGGCAAGACAGCTGCTGTGTGCCCCCACTGTCCACTTTGGGTGACACTGTCTCAAGACCCCCAGTGGAAAGCACAAATTGTGACAAAACCTGTGTATACAGGAGACAGACACTTTGGTCAACAATGGGCCCATCTAGACGGGGTGTGCCAATCCCTGGCCCCCGAGTCCAGGCCTGCCAGGGACTAGAGCGCCAGGCCTGTGTCTCCACGCTCTGTGCTGTCTGCAGAGATAAGGAATGTGATGACATGGTTCTTAGAACGTGTCCACTGTCACCAAGGCATGGCTGTGGTATTTCTTACCAACTGTACATGCCCGTGACAAGAGGGGACATTTTAAATTAGAGAATAAGAGATCAAAAACATTAAGTTGTGATAAAAATAGAACAATTATATGTTCACCTCCTAGTAGCCCAACCTCCATTTCTACTTTGACAGAAATGCTTTTGTTAAACGATACTTTGATGACTTGGGCCCTCTTGGAGAAGATGGAAGCACTCCTAGCTATTACTCTTCTGTGTTACTGAGGCCTTGTGTATCTCAAGATGCTCTTTAGGAGACCCAGTGACTTGCACTCTCCACTGGTGCTGGTGTCAAGAGCTCACTCATCTGGGGTCAGGTCTACAGATGGTGTTCATGTTGTCAAATGGCTCAGCAGGCATGAAATGACATGGGAAAAAAAGATGGTAGAAGGGAATATGTATTTGAGAAGCCACTTCCAGAAATATTAAGAATTCCAAGGTCCTGAAACCTATACAATTTTGTAAACTGTTAACTCAAAAAATAAAAAAAAATTGTGCTTGAAAAAAAAAAAAGAACAATTATAATATGCTGTAGTAAAAGTTATGTGGACATGGTCTCGCCCCAAGCATTAGTATGTAGAACTTTTGACAGCAGGTAAGTAGAACTGCCGGAAGTGACACTTAGGGTAGGGGGCACCCGCCGGAAGTGACACTTAGGGTAGGGG